CTCACACACCAACTGAAGGTCTTTTCATTGGTTCTTCACTAAACAAAGAACACAAGGAAGTCAGATGTCCGTGTACGTAAGATCCACACCCTTGACGCAGAACAAGTGACATTCCCAGTGGCCCAAGACACAGCAGCTGTACCCATCCACCCTGGATACCAACACACATCCATGAGCCACCTGACTAAGAGTAAACATTTTCCAAGTCCTTGCAAGAAGATCCATTTCTTCAGTACACTGTTAGACTCTAATACAAGAATTGACAAAAGTACCATTTTGCTTTGAAAGAGATAAACCAGTATTTATATTGATAATAAAGGTTTGATTGCTTTTGATTAATTCAGCCTTTTTTGCTGCATGACTGGTTTCCATGGAAATGCAAGCAGATTAAAAACCTGCAACCAGAAGTGAGTCAGTTTTGCCTGTTTATGTCTCCTCAGTTCCCTTGGAAACAGACATTAAAAAAAAAGAGTAAAAAGGATAAGGGTCCTGAAATACCTTTGGAAAATCTCCTCCCAAAGCTTTATCTCTTTGGCTGCTTTGCCAGAATTAGAGTTGAAAATAACACAGAGCAACAGATGACAGAATAGTGACTTGACTTTTTTTAAGGAGACATCAACAGAACATACCTGGAGATGTCTCAAAAGCCACATTCAAACTGACAAGCTCAAACTGTATTAACATGGGTTTTGGCAAAAGTACTTCATGCAGAGTATATATTTCTTTAAATTAGTTCAATACTAATGTAGAAAGAAATACAATAGAGAACAAGAAAATAGCATCACTGTCCTTGTCCCAAGTATACTTCAATACTTTGCAAGAGAGGGAAAAAGTAAAAGCTGACTTGGGGGAATGAGTCCAATATTTCCATTGCCAGGATGCTTTGTAATGGAATCATTCCTTACAACACATTCATTTTGAAGTTGCAAAATCAGCTACACACATATCAGGTTAAGTAACTCCATCTCCCACCATACTTTTCAAAGACAACAGTGCACCCTCCTACGAGCTGTATCTTCACACTAGTACAGACAACACCATCCTTCCCCCTCAGAGCCAAATGCATCAGGGAAGGAACAGGATGGGAAGTTAGTAGGAAAGGAGCTGCTGTACATGTCTCAGACCTTCAAGGCCTGCTCCTATCACTACCATTACTCTGCAAGAATTCCCCTACAACCAAGTGGCCAGAAACACAAAGAACAGCAGTACAATTATTTGCTCCTCTGAGTTCCTTCCAGAATGTTCAGGACAGCTAAGCCTGATTACAAACTAGTTATTTCCTTGTTTGTCTCCCACATCACATTATCAGTTCTATGTGCTCAGCACACCTCCATGCAACTCAACACTTCCTCAGAGAGCTGTGAATCCACTGTTACTGCCTGCCTGGGGAGAACATGCAGGGGCAGTGCACGTCCCTTACCACTACTGTCAGAGACTGAAGCTGCATTACAAACATCAGGAAAGAGAAAAAGGAAATCTGTCCTAAACCCTGCTCATGTACTCCCAATCATCACCAGAACTCAAGGGTCCTTCTGCATTCAGCATTACACCCGTTATTTTTGTACTTTGCTGCTGCTCTGAGAAGTAACATTCTGCCACTGACATGAAACAAGGCTTGGGGAAGAGTAGCCAGCCATGATATTCACTAAAAGGATGAGAGAAGGGTAGCAATCACTGGAGGTTTGTCTGAACAGAAGAAGGAGTTGAACTTAATTCAATGTTAATTAGTTCACATTAGCCGAATCCAATCTATTCCTGTCACAGTAAAGATAAGTCTTTTAAAAAATTAATTATTTCCTATTCTCGTTTGTATTTTGGCAAGGTGGAGAGTCATACAAGAAGGAGAATAATCTTGCAGTACTCACTAAGGCATCACTCAAGGAGGACAGATTTAACATTGAGAGGAGAACATTCAATGTTAAGGGAACATTAAGAGAAACATTGATGTGTATCTTTCAGTCTATTTCTAAGTTTAGCCTCCTTTCTTGTAGAGGTCAGAGGTACATATAAACAAAATAATTTAGCTATTTATTTACTTTAGCAGCTAAATACATGAACATCCAAGTGTCAGGGAGACTAGTTTACACAGTAAACCACTTAACAGTTACCATTCAATTCATCCATGAGAATGGATAAGCAGAGGCATCTTCTAAAACATTAAGTGATCAAACCACACAAGCAGCAAATAAGCAGATCAAGTATTTTCCACCATACTCTACAACAAACGTGTTTATTTCCATTATTAAACACAGGTGTCAAGTTTACTAAAGCCAGTCTCTGAAGAGATTGCAAAGGTGTCAGGTGCTGGGATCAGCTGAGTTTCATACCTCCTCTAGCACAAAGAACAGAACAAAAACGTCACTGCTGAAGCTAGGGAGTCACTATTAAACAGATGAAAGGCACTAGTCACAAGAAAAATGAAAGTCATTTAATAAGAAGATAACTCACACAAAATCAAAAATCTTTGATTACTAAGGACCCCAAAATTAACACATCTGACTTAGTTTTGCCTTTGGGGACATCAGCATTATCACATCAATCTTAAGGAAATTTACAAGGTCACACACTACATTGTAATTCAGGAAATAAAACCACAAGAGTTACGCACCACCTATCTGGGCACTTAAGTAAGCAAGGCTCCCCTTCAGCAAATACAAAGTATAATTGCCCCATTATACATTGTATCATATTACACATACTCAAGAAGGCCTAATCAGTTAAATAAGTAATTCAAATCTGTCATTTGTTAACTTCCAAAGCGGATTTCTAGAACATAATTTATTTAACATTAACTCTTCATATGAAGTTTTCCAAAATGGGGTTTTAAATTTCTACTTTATATTTGCATAAGCTCGTCCTGTGTTAAATTACATGATAAATAAAATGGGTTATGATGCATAAAAAAGTCTGAAGACCAACTGAAAACAGGTACCATCCTTACTGTTTCAAAAGTAGCATCTGCCCCTTTACATTAGGCTGCTGCTTATGCTAATATTTCAAAGAACTTCATCCAATATTTAAGACACAATCCACAAAAGTGTCTAGAAGGAACAACAGTACAGCCTAAATCAATTCTGGCAACTGATAAAGAACAGCAAGCTAAATCTTCAAGCTAGAATCATCTCTTTGTACAGGTTGGAGAAGCTTAATGCAAGCACTGAACTTCCAAGAATAAATGAATGACACATTTTACACAGAAGATGAGAAAAAGGGAGACACACCAAACCAAAGTTCTGTTATGCCACCTCACAGTGCTCCTGTCAGAACATCCTGGTTACCCAAAAGCAGCCAATGCACTCAACAGAAATCACTCTAACTAGGCTGCAACTTAAGAGTCATCTTTCCAGGTAAAAGTGTTCCATTTATAGAAATCCACAGCGTCTGCACACAGATTTGCAACACTGCACTGCAACCCAAAGTTACCACAAAACCTCCCAGGGACTGTAAAACAACAAACAGCACACAAAGCTAAAGGCACAAAATCTGAGGAGGATTGCAGAAAGTTAGAACCCTCCCCAGCACCGTGGTGCATAACACATAAACACATAGCTGCTTCTTCATTTGTAACAAAGATCACACGCAAGTTGTGGCATGAAAGTTTTTTTTTTTTTTTTTTTGCAGGCCTTGGGAAGTCCAATGTGATTTCCTGGTGGCGTGAAGGAAGTAAAGGATGGTAGGTGGTATAATTTCATAAGAGATCATCATGTGATAGCAGATATGTAAAAACTGTTCTTTTAATCAGAACTGTACTTATTTTCATGCAGGAAGGGTTTTCTACATCTTGCCAATAAAAGTACTACTCTGCAGAAACACATAATGAAGGTTTTTAACTCCCTCTCTGAAGCACAAACCTGAAGAAAAAATCCCTGCTCAGAAAAACACTATGCATCTCCTTTTACAAATTTAGTCTTACAATACTTGTTCTAGTCCAAGTCGCCTTAGTAGTTCCCTGTCAAAATCAGTGCATCAGCACAAATGTCATAACCAAGTCATCATCTGTCATCATGCAAAACTTCTTAAGAGCACACAACAACAGATTTGGAGCACACAGAAGTAGAAAAAATGTGAAGTTTAAGAAGCATTGCAGGAGAAACCTCTATCAGTATGCACAAAAACACAGTACAGCAAAGAAGAAATTTGACCAGCAGCTTCTTGTCAGTTCTGGATCAGTGTTTCTCAGCTGCTGATCCAGGGAGCAACAGTCAGCTCTGAGACATCTGAAACAGCCTGTGGAACAGCTGCAAGGAGGGCTGGCTTGTGTTTTGGGCAGGAGGGGAGAGGAGGGAATTGTTTTCTTGTTTTTATGTTTTAAATAAACAGTTCTTGCATGCAGGCAAAATCAACACAAACAAAAATAAGAGCAGCAACTGAGCAATCAAACTTCAGCCTAATTTCATTGCAACTGTAACCTTCTATGGCCTTACTGCACAGTACAATCCGCAGATTGTATTCAATGAGGTCAGATGTCTCTTTGGACTTAAAAAGGTTGAAAGACATCCTTTAGATGACAGATAGTTGGCAGATAATAACATGGAAGATAAATGGAAGATGGGGATTTCTGAAGGACAAAGTAAGATGATGAGATAACCAGCACAGATGATTACAGAAAGAAATCAAAACTCACCAGAGGGAAAAAACCAAACTTTTCTTAGATATGTTAAAATGCACAGAGGATTCAGGAAATAAAAGCCTCAACATACAAACTCTTTATTTTGACAATTAGGAATCATAAACTAACAAAATATTCCAAGAACTGAGATCTCTAATACTAGATTTATAAAGCATGAATCTGCTCTTGTACCCAGTAATAAAAGTAAAGCCATAAAGAGCATTAGGTAGTCACAAATTCGACCCCTTAAGCATACTAAAAGCTCTAGCACTTGAGTGGGCTTAATCGCATCCCTCTAATACTACTAAATCGGAACCACCTCACCACTATTGCAACTATTTAACAGGCGATTTAGGGAGCCCAGAAACAGTTGCACCGTTCCCCTACTTACTTGAATCTTCCCATCTGAGAAGGTGCAACTTCCAAGCAGAATAATACAGAAATCCCAGAACCAGAAAGAGGCAGAGGGCTAGCAGCAGGTTACGCATAAACACCAAGAGTCCCATCTTCACATTAAATCTGCTCTTCTACATGACCTGAGAAAGAAAAACAGGTTGAGGCTAGAGCCACCTTCTCCAATGGGCATCCTCTCCAAAACGCGCAATCCCATACCCACCATAACGCACAGATCCCAAACCGTGCTGCTCCGCCAGATAGAACACACGCGTCCCCCAAAGCGTAGCAGCGGAACAAGAACCACCCCGGGCAGCCGCCCGTTCTGGCCGCCACAGGGTCAGCGCCGCTCCGGAGAGCCGGCGGTCACCGCCACGCTGTGACCGAGCATCAGCCGCGCTCCTGCCGCCTCACACACCCGAGCCCAGCGCGGCCCTGGCCGCCGAGGCCTGGCGAGCACCGCATCCTGCCGACACGCCACAGAGCGAGCCCCCAGCACCGGGGTGTCCCGCGGTCGGGGGCCCGCGGGAGCGGCCGGCGCGGCGCTGCTCCCGGCAGGAGCCCCGCGGAGCCCCGGGCACTGCGCGCTGCGGGGACGCGCTGCCCTAGAGGGGTACCGGCGCCCGGGGAGAGGGACTCGCCGGGCCCGGGCAGGACGGCAGCTGCCCGCCAGCTGACAGCCGCCAGCGGCCGGCTAGAGCCTGGGTTTGAACGGGCAGCGGCGTCGCCACCGCCGGGCTGCCCCCGCCTCGCCGTGCTCCGCTATGAGCTACGCGGCGCCGCGCCCCACCAGACCCCGCTCGGCGCGCCAGCTGCCGTGAGCGGCCCTGCCCGCCGGCTCCCCCACGCCCCTCCTCACCCGGCCGCCGCCGGCCCCGGGCGCTCGACCGCCGGCTGCGCCCCCCGGGCGCGGGGCTGCGGGCGCCGCCATGCCAGGCGCGCCCAGCGGGACCCGCCGCCGCCGGGGGGCGCCGCGGCCGCCAATGGCGCGCGGGGGCGGGGCGGGGCCCGCCCGCATAGCGGCTGCCGCCGGCCAATGGGACGGCACGGGGGGGTCGCGCCCTGGCCAATCGCGGGAGGCTTCCGCAGCCAATGGCGCGCTGGCAGGGGGTCCCCGCCGGAGGAGCGCTGCGGCAGGGCGGCGGTGCGCGTGCGCAGAGCGCCCCCCAGAATCAGCGCGTGGCGGTGGCGCCGCGGTGAACGGCCCGGGCCCTCTCCCCCCTCACGGCCGCCGCCGGGCACCGCTCCTCCTCCAAATCCCGGCACCGCTCTCCAGTCACGCCGCGGCACCTCCAGAGCACTGCGGTGCCTCCAGGCATGGCACTGGCCCCTGCCAGCACTGTACCCGCTGTGAGGCGCCGCATTGTCACCCCACAGCGCTGCACCTTCCGCCAGCTGAGGCACCTCAGCTGCTGCCCCTGCAGTGACACGGCATCGCCCGCCCTCCGGGCACTGCACTGAGTGCGCTGCGCCTCCCCTCAGGTCCTGCACTGCCCGACCGCCGAGCACTGCTCCGATGGCCTCTCGGCCCTGCCCCGCTCTGCACAGCCGAGCTGCAGCCGCGACACGGCAACGCAGCCCTGAGTTTGCTTCCATCACTGCCCCGCACAGCGCCTGTCCCTGCTGCACCGTCCGGCCAATGCCTTCACACCTCCTGCAAACCCTCCCAGCACTGCACACCCAGCAAGGTGCTGCCCAGCCCCTGCACGGCTCTGCGCCACCTCCCCGCTGTGGCAGAGCCTCCGCCACTGGACCACACCAGGCCGGGCGGCACGGACCCCCCCAGCTGCCCTTCCACAGCACAGCACAGCTCATGCCACGCACACAGTGCAGCTTCCACCGCTTCCCGGTGTGTGACAGTCTCCACCTTTCTCACTGCACAGCCGCCCTGTGAGCACAGCAGCACTGGGAACAGCCTGCAACGCAACCTTCCCACAGCATTGCCTCGTTCTTGCTGGCCCCACAGCCATCTAAGGGTCCTTAGGCAGAGGGCAAGTGACAAATTCCAATATAACACCTCTCAGGAATAGAATGACAAAGGGAAATTATTAGTCGTGAAGGGGAAAGTCATCTGAAAGGAAAGAAATGGTGAGGAATAAACCTGCATCTTTAGTGACCAGCCCAGTGACCCTCCATTTGTCACTGATAACAGAAGGAAAACAAAAGGTGATTTTAGGGGAATCCTAGTAAAATCAGGTACGGCATGGTGGCAGCTCCCACTGAGGTGAGCCCAGGTGCTGATGTTGAATGGCAGACACTGCCTTGAACAGCACAGAGCTGGCTGAGCTCTGTTGACAAAGGGAATTGACAAAAGGCCAAGTTCCTGCTGGTCACAGGGAGAGCTGGTGGGGGCTCATGCAGCCCCATTTTCAGAGCCAGAAACCCCACTTGGTGCTCTGCACAAATGAAGTCGGTACAAGTTGATTGCTAGTGTGGCACCCATGCAGCCAGGCTTCCAGAGCTACCACTCTCCTCTGCAGAGACACAAGGGAGACACATGTCACACTGATACACCATTAGTTTTTTTTTGAATGCCAACAATTTCTAGAGACAGCACAGGAGACCAACAGGCTCATGCAAGCACCCAGGTACCACTGACACCAATATCCCCGTGAGGAGGTATGTGGTGAGGAGGCAGGTGGAGAGGGGACACGACCACATTCATGCAGCCCTATCTATCTGTAGATCTGCCCCCAAGCTACTGGCCCATTAACCCCCAGTTCGAAGGGCTGACCTGCTCAGGACGCTCGTTTCTCTGAGGCAGCTCCCTTCCCTCCAGCTTCAAGGCGAGCTGGCAGCCAGGGCTGGTGCAGGCAGCCTCCTCCTATGGCCCCAGCTCTGCTGCCGGGCTCATTTCTTCCAGCAGCTCCACCGACTCCTGTGCCACATCATGTCTGGCTGGAACCCAGTTTTGCTTCACAAACGCTTGCTTTATGCCTACTCTTCTCTTCCCCTCTTCATCCCTCCATCTGCGTAAGCTGGCTCTCATCTCCCTGCCTCAACCGCCCTTGTCCCTGTGACACGGAGCTGCTGCACTGCCTGCTGCCACTGCGCCACATCTGCTCCAGCTGTCCCCAGGCTTCACCTAAACCGCCCCCGTACTGCATTTGAACCCCGCGGTGTGTGGGCACAGCAGGTGATCTCATTTCACTGATGAGATAAGCGGGGACCTACAGCACGAAGCCAAATAGCGACAAGTCTGGGGCTTGCCCCTGAGCCCTGTTTGTCACTCAGGAAACTCTAACCCCGTTATCAGGTGTCAGTGTGCTGCAAAGAGCCCGGGATGAAGTCACCCTCCTTGCCAGCCTGGAAAAAACTCGGAAGGCGAGCGCTGTGCATCTTGGAAAATCAGGTACCAGCGCCTGGCAGCTGTTTGATGGCCATGAGATGAATTAAGGCAATGATTAGTGGCGTGATTTGGTTCAAGTAGCAGGACTTTAGTCTGAACATGTTCCTACTTAGCTTACACATTTCATTCGCAGGCAGATGTCAAGCTGGATGTTGCTAGGAGATAGACAGCAGGGGAATAATTAAGTCTGATTAAATCCTATCATATTGCTGTGCTGCTTTCCAGAATGCTCTGGAGCTTTTTAAAGCCAAACTGACCAAATGATCAGGCAAGTGATCTAGCCCATCCTGCTCAACAAAACCCACTTGCAGCAAACCAGCTGAACCTGTAGCTACCCATGTCTGCAGAGAATTTCCTACAGCAGCACTGGCCATGATCTGGAGAAAAAGGGCTCTGGCAGAGGGCACAGTTGGTGGCTGCATTAGCAGGTAGCATAAAACAGTTAGGGCTGGTCACTGCTTGGAGCAGGCAGTGAGGGGTCCTACCCCTGTGTCCCTGCATCAATGCTGCAGAGACACTCATGTTGGACTCAGCATGACTTGGACACACCACCATGACCATAAGCAAGGCTTCCTTCAGCCCTTCTTTTGAAAGGAGCCCACCTGAGGCATGCCAGAATTGCTCTGCAAATTCCCCTCATGTGCATGAGGAGATGCTGAGCAGCATCTTTTCCCATCCGGAAAATTAAGTTAGGTTGTAACTATCAGATGCCAAATATACACATCAGCCTCCAGGCTTCCTTCATAGAGACTTCTAATCTCATTTTGTTTCTTTACCCTATAAAATTACTATTCTAATACTCACACTGTAATCCTTCTCCCCAAATTAAATGTCATCAAATCAGACCCAATACTAATTAATGCAATATTTTATGATTAATTACATACCACTCTATACCACAGCAAAGATCTCTTTCAGTAATGGCTAGACAGAGATTACTTCTGCTGATGCACAGGCTCAAGGAATGCAATCTGGGCTATAAGACACTTGTAGTTTGTCTTATCTCTCTGACCAAACTTGTTTAATCTCACACACTCATTATGTATTATTCTTAAATGCAGATTCTGAACGTGGTCAGACTGTGGAGAACACTTTACATATCTGGTGCTCTGGCTACTCTAAGAACAGAAATGTTAAACAGCATCAGCACCAGGCCCACACAAAACAAGTTAAAACAATCTGAACTTGGCTCAAAAATTCTGCCACCCTCCATATGTTTTCAACAGCAAAGAATCACACTTACCACTTTGGGAGCAGGTAAACATCTGGAGCCTGCCTGATTGCCTCCCCAAGTACTCTGCCTGAGTGGAGCAGCTTTCCAAGGATCTTCCTCAGAGGATGTGACCCAATGGTCCCACCTGGCAGGCAGTCATGCAAGTGCAAGCCCCTGGCCAGCACCCTGCTCAGCAGTTCATCTCCTTGCAGTAATTCCAATACACTATGTTTGGTTCACTCAGAGTTTCCAAGAGAGGAGGTAGGCTTGCATTGAAGACAATCATTGAAGACTCCCACTTTTCTGGGTCTGTTTCAGGAGTCCCTCACACTCACGTTCAGAAGAGCATCCCACCTCCCTGTGTCTGGCTTCAGCTTGCAGACATACCATTTTATTCTGCCTTCTGCTTGATTAAAGAGCCTTTCAGAGCCTGGCATTTTCTCTTTGTGACACTACACATATGCTGCAGGCAAACCCCCCCTCATCCGTCTTTCTGAAAAGCTAAATATACTGAGTCGCTTAATTCTCTTTCTGCCAGGCTTTTCCTCCCACCCTCAAGCCATTTTTTGTGTTTCTGCTCTACAGAGCCTCTCTGATTTTCCTGAATCCTTTTCAAGATATAGAATCCCACAATGAGCCTCCCTAATGCTTTGACACAGGGATTTAATCTGCTTTTCCTATTTTCTGACTTAAAGAGCTGCATTAGTCCTTTCTACCACAGCATCAGGATAAGGATTCTGGCAGGATTGTCTCAAATCTTTTCCAGACCCCCTGCTGGCAGGTTAGAACCACCTGTATCTCAGCTGCACATCCAGGAACTGAGGAATGGAGTTTGCTGGTTGGAGACACCTCCACTCCCACACACCTCCCTCACTTGCTCCCTTGTCCTAGAATCATGGATGTCATGGTTGGAGGGGCTTAGAGAGCTGAGCTTGGCAGGCCTTAGGAAGATTTGCTAAGCCCTGGTGAGCTGTCCAGGAGCAAATATCTTGCCCCCAGTAGGTTACTGCACCATGCAAGAGAGGAGAGCACAGAACCAAGCAGTGCCTGCTGGCATGCAGGCTGGTTTGACTGTCTGGGAAGTATTTTGCAATGCCTGTTAATATTTTACCCATTCTGTCCAGAGTGACAATGGTCACCGTAGAATCTGTGCACTGACTAGTTACCAGGCTGCACACCATGAACACAGCCTCCTAAAAATAATAGGCTAGGTGAAGGTTTCCTCTTTAATTCTGCTCCTTAAGAAACCAGGTAAAATAACCTCCCCCCCCACCAGCAGCCTCCCCAGTGAAGCCTACCTGAGATCTGGGAGTGAAATATGGAGTCTTGCTCAGCCCAGGTGCCATCACTGGATATCACAGTGCATTTCTTCATGCCAGTGCTGCAGAAACCTTGAATGAACCCAGCTCCAGCTGTGGCCATGCTGCCTCTCTGAAGCCAGAAGTGCTGTCTTTGAATTTCTGAGATGATTGCTGAATAAACTTGAATTTCTGAGACGCTTAGAACTGTGATGGCTGTGAACCTCAATGGCTTCATCTTGAGCTCTCCAGACAGGCATTACCCCATCCCCTTTCATACCATAAAAACAGCTGGGAGAGTCAGGTGAGGCAGGCAGGCACCATCCAGCCACTGCCTCCTCTCAAATGGGAATGGCAGGAGTGACTCCATCTCACATGCTGTCACAGGGAGGAGGGAATTCAGCAAAGCAGTGGCACAAGAAGAGGCTGCAGCTCCCCAAACCAGCCACACTCATGCTACAGGCCCAAGTAATTTGCAAACAATTTGATGATTTAATCACAGACTGTCCCAAACACGGGTTAATTTTTAATGAATGGTCAGCTGGTAGGAGGCCAGCATAACCTAAAGGGCCAAAGCCATGGGCAGAGAAATGGCAGAGAGCCCCAGACTGTAGGTGAAAGCACAGCTAAAGGCATCCTGAGGTTGTTACACAGGGAAAATTCTTCCTGGGCAAAAGGAAAGTTCTGGGTGCTGAGAGTAGGAGCATTTATAGAGAACACTTTGCCTTCTCCACTGCTTTCAATAATGCTGCAGGATTTTAATTAAAAGTATGTATTATAAAGAATTAATAAGACTCAAGTAGATTAACAACTACATGTATTAACAGCTGCATTCTGAGATCTGTCAGTAAGCCAAGGCTTAATGGGGAGACATCAACAACAGAAAGCCTACCTAGACCCCCAGTGACCCCTGGTCCAGTGCCATTTAATAGGTCTTAATATCAATAATCTGGATAACAAGATGAAGGCTTACATTTGGGGCTGATAAAACACTGAACGCTGCTTGTTGCTACAGCATGAGCTGAATGGCCTGGGAAAATTATAACAGCCCCCAGCCCAGTGATGGGCTGCAAAGGAAGGTTCTTGGGAATGGAGGAGACAGGCTGTACCACAGGATGGAGAATCTCCCTGAAAGTGAGGGTGGGAGGTGAAATTAAGGAAAAAGGCTGCAAAAGAGCAGTCCCCACACATGACTGTTGCCATGAGCCTGCAGCACAGTACCTTGGCTCTGACGGCCATGAGTCAGAGGGACATGGAGAGGATTTCCAAGCAGAGCTACAGCTCTGGCAAAGCCAACTTGATGTCTGGTCCGGCTATCCAAACTTCAGAACAGGCACAGAAATCGAAAGGAGCAGAAACACCACCACAAGAAAGGAGCTAAGAGTTGGAAATGTGACAAATAAGGCTGCATATGTTGTGAGGAGGACAAGGTACTTCATTGCCTCAAGAGAGGGTCTCCTCACTGCCAGAAGGAGCAGAGTACTGCTATGGACAGAAGGAAGGGCAGAAGCCAAAGGTGAGAAGTTGAAGATGGGAAAAACTGAAGCCTGGAATTAAGTACAGCATGGTCACTGAAGGTTGCAGGGGCAGCCATCCCTACCATGAAGCAGCTTGCAAAATAAGTTTAGATCTCAACTAGATCTCAACTTGAATTTTTTGACATTAGTGGCTCAGGCATGAAGAAGAGATGCTGCATGGACGTGCTTGCTGTTTTGCCCTGACCTGTAAGCACCCCGCCTGATCTCCTGTCCAAACAGCTCCAGCAGCAAAAAGGAGGCCAGGACTGATTCCTGCATGCCAGAGAAGGCAGTGGAGAAGGTGTGGAGGGCTCTGCCTGAGGACAATCTTGTTCACCTGCTCTTCCAGCTCATGCACATGTTTTTCTAAAAACAGGTACAACAGCCTGAGCTGGCTCTGTGGCATTACACTACCTGCAGCACTGTTCATTGCCAGCCCTTGACCCAGGGAATGCGTAATTTCCAGCCTGGAGCTTTAGTACTTAATTACTTGCACTGGAGCAACCCCTTGTGTACCTTCAGCTGGCCTGCTATGGTGATGGGGCCACTAGCCATGGGCTCCTCTTTTCATCCTGTTCAGCCTGAACCTCCTCTCCGTTGCTCTATGGTGAACTGGAACTTCTGACCCCAAGTAATGCACCAGCAACCTTCATACAGCACAGCAACCAACTCTGTTACTCATACCTGTCTCTCCCATACATGCCCAAGTGAGCTGATGCCAAAACCCACAGCATAAGCACAGCAGCACAAGTGCCTGAGTCAGTGTCCACTTCAGGTTTACAAACCTTCCCCATTTGGGTCACTCTGATCTCCTCCCCAGGTGCCCAAAGGAAATAATCAGCAATGCTGCCTTTGGCAAGCAACTCCCAGGGCATGTCCTGTCTGCAGAGCCACAGGCTGCACCCCTGTGGGTGACTGCCCCTCTGAAAACCCTGTCATGCACCAAGGGACATCAACACCTGCTAGGGTGCAGGGCCATGAGCCCAGAGAGATGCTCTGGAAGCATCCCACCTCCCACACATCTGAGACCAGGGCAAGCATGATGTTCAGGAAAGGGGTCAAGGACATGGGAAGTAGCAAGGGTGAGGAGAGGGAGGAGGAAGGGAAAGCACCAACCACCTCAAATACTGTCAGCCACTGGGAAGGTGGTGGAAGGAAGTGCTGGTGCTGCTGGTGGAGGTGCTTCCTGTTGGTCATGAGAACAGCTGCCTGGCCTGGGGCACTGGGTTGGCAGGATAGCTGCCAGCTGAGGTAGCCCTACCATGTCCCAGTGCCTTTCTTCCCCAATCCTGGGTGCTGAGGCTTATCTGGTCTCTCTTGGGAAAAGGAAGAAAGGAGAGGAGCATGGCATGGGCCATTAGGAGCTGTGTGAGAGGGTGCAGGGGCTGAGGGCTCAGTTTGCACTGCCCTGACCCCTGTGCTGCAGGATGTAGCCAAGGGTTTGTGCTCTGCTGCAGGACATGAACATGCTTGGTTTGGGAGATTCAGATTCAAGCTGTGCATCCTTGCAGCTGCTTTTCATAACAGGGAGTTAGAGCAGCCAGGGGAAAATGCCTCTGGGTGCTCTGTTTGCTGCCAGGATGTGGGCTAATAGCAGCCATGAAGAGGCAGCTGCCAGCCACAGGCAGGGGACACAGGCAGAAAGGTGCTGCCAAAACACCTCAACCCCCCCTGAGTACGTCACTCGAAGTCACAGAAGTCTGTGTTGGTATGAGTGAGAACAGGACTAAGGGAACACTGGATCCTTGTGTAATAAGTGGGATCCTAAACAATGAATGCACAGAGCTGCCAGCCAATGGAGGGCTCTGCCTCTGCCCCAGCAGTCATGGGGGACCAGCCAGGCCAGCAGTCCTTGTTTTCAGCTGCAGCCCATCCCACCCAGCCACAAGAAGGTGGGGACAAAGGTCTGCCTCTCCAACAAAGCTTCTCTACCCTGCTCCATGGGAACCAACTTCCTATGCCACAGCCAAGGGAATATGAACTTTCTGCAGCCATCAGCTGAGCCACAGCTATGCTGGGGGATGCTGGCAGATCCACAGGGTCAGACAGAAGCAGCTGCTCAGGGCTGGAGCTTTCCAGGTCTCAGTAGCCAGTTGAGGGAGGTTTGCAGCTGAACTGGTCCTTCCAATGAAGGGATGGGGTAAGACAAACACAGTGAGGTGTTGGTACCAGTGACAGACTGGTTCCTGTGGATGGGGAAGATTAGCACCACTGCTTCCTGCAGTCACCCAGACAAGTCTTGTGTTCAGAGTCCAGCACCTACAACCTACCCAGGCTGGCATTTGAGCCCTGGTGTGAAGCTGGGTACAGCAGCCTGCTCCAGTCCAGCCCAACTCCCCTCTAACCCAGCCACAGACCCTGTGCAGGACAGTTCTCCCCTCTGCCAGCACCCACAACACAGTCATGGCTTGGCAATGTCACCACCCAGCAGCACTGTGTCATTGTGTGTCCAGGGCATTGGGGATCTGTTTCATGCAAGGCCTCCCCAGCAGTGCTGAGGGACCAGCATCAGACAAGCCTGGCCACAGGAGACAGCCTTGTGCCCCAGATCTCCTGTCCTCCATCAACTCACCCCAGTCACCTCCAAACTACTGCTCCTCCCACTCCACCAGCTGGAGCCCCACACAGGGCTCTGATGAAAAGGGGAAGCCTTCATATCCTCTTCCATAGAACTTTCCAGCAAGCTTCAGGCCCTGCAGAGAAGCCAAACTCCTCAGCTGAAAGGGCTCCCCAGTTCTGTGATAGCAAGTGACCATGTGCAAGTGTGTCACTGCCATGCTTCAGTCCCACAGCTTCATCCCTCCTTTTCCTTCACAAGCCAGCAAATACCCTTAATGTCAAGAGCCAGTGAGGCCTGGGGAATTCATTAAGCTGCTTTCTCAAAAGCAGTGAAGCTGAACAAGTTCAGAGGGAGAAGGATGGTGGTATCCAGCACCAGTAGCTGCTC